AAAATGCTGTTTCAACATGGGGAAAAATATCTCATGTTTCCTAAATCAGCTGCTTTTTGTAAATTTGGTGAATTGTCTCCTGGATAGTTACAGTAGAGATACAGAAACACAGCAAACAGAGCTCCTTTGCCAGATTGAATAATTTGTATAAATTAAGGGTGTGAACCAGTATATAAAGTTAAATCAAGTTAAAAATTACCAATATAATTATAAGTTAAAGTCTCATATTCAACTATTTCTTCCTGTAGGAGTAAGTCACATCACATTTCTTCAATGTGATTATTGGCAAAGTCATCAAAAGGCTGTTCCATTCACATCTATTTTCAAAGTAAATGTTGATGTTTGTATATACTCATTGTGAAGAATTGATCCACTACCAATGGTTTTAATTCTGAAAATCCTTTTCAACCAGATAGAACCTCAGCTGTCCTCACTGTGTCCTCCATTATGGCGAGTCCGGAGATCTGTAACTCTGAACTGTGTTGACATGCCATCTGCAGAATGGGTTCTACTGGTATTAAGGCCTGTTCCTCATCGATCATCCAACTACTACAGCTCTGAGCTGCTATCCTGGCAGCAGCAATGGACTGAAACAGATCCCTACATTCGTGTACATGGACAGACACACACAGCAGGATATTAAGTGCAAGAGCTTGGAAGAGGAGAATCAGTGTATTACACTGTTATAGTAACAAGTTTGTCTGGTCTGGAGGTCAGTTTGTTTCTGTCTGTCCTCTCAAGAAGCAGATGTTATATCAATATATTATGTGTCCAACTACAGTATCTTGAAAACTTAACAACCTTTGTTGGCAAATGATTAGCTGTGTATGTTCATGCCCCGAATGGAAAAATTAATTGAGCCGTGACCTTATGAAAATTTCCAGCTTTCGTTACATACTGGATGGGCAGAATTTTTTCCAGAAAGTTTCCTTATTATCGGGTAAAAGTTATATTTAAAATGTAATAAATGGTAGTACGCTTCAAAAATCATGGGAAATCATAGTTTGACCAAAAAACAAGGCAACTGTGATTGCATGTCTGCACTGATCCTCAACAATAAACAGGCATAAAGTATTTCATTATGACATTATTAATCTTAAACACTGTGCTCGGTTTGATCCATTATTACAGTTGTTTTTCAGATTTTCATCCATCAGCGCTCTCACGTGAGGTCCTGACAGAGTGCAACACTTCACCTCTGACCTCTGTCTCAGTAAACTGTGAGGGAAACTCCAAACCTGTGATGGGAGACTGAGGAGTTTACTGAGAACAGCTACTGGTACACTGCTCCTCCTGGGGGACAAATGACTGGATCCACATGCAACCATAGACAGTTAACTGGCAGAGTGATGCAGTGTACTGGTGATGGAGTCTGGATCAGGGAAGAGTTCAGCAACGCCGTCAACCTCACTATACAGAGTATGGTTCCAATTAATTTTTCTTTTTACTTTATACATCATTGTTAAACAACATTCTATCAGCCTATTTTATGAAATTTGATGTTAGTTTTTGTCATTATAAATAGCGTCAACATTTTACAGCACCTTTGTACCAAACAACCAGTTCTCATATAAAAAACTTTCCTGGCTACGTTGGTCAAAGTGCAAAACGTAGAGGGGTTACAATAATGGCCCTTAAATTAAATGACTGTTACATTTTTTCTGCCTATTTCTTTTCATATTGTTTTGCGTCCAAGTCACATGACTTTTCCCAAGATCCCGGCCGTGGAATAACAAACATGGCGACATTTCTCTCATTTTTAGTGAAAAAATCTATATTTTGAGTTAGTTTCTGCCAATAAAAATTGCATTTTGATTACATTTCTAGCGAGAATATATATTTTTATTTTCAATAATATTACCTCAGTTAATGTACTTCTATATCATGACTGCTTTGCAGATAATTACCTTTGAACCTTAACCTCAAGGGCATATTTGGAAGGCTTAATAATTATGGGACAAAAAAATTTACAATTTTAAGGGCATTATTGTAAAACCCTCCTACGTTTTTGCAAACTTAGACAACCGTAGCCAGGGTACGTTTTATATGAGACTGGTTGACACAAACAAATTACACAAAATGTTTGCCAGTTTTATTTACCCAGCTGTCAAAAGCTCAAGATTTATGTCAGTTAACTGTTATTCCTAAAGATTATTATAGAGAAAGTAATAATCCAAATAGTAGCATACAAAAGTTCTCAGTAACAGCAGTATAATTCAATCAGGTGCTGGTCAAACACAGGTAATGTTAAAGAATCAAAATTTAAGAAAGGGCTAGCTTGCAACCAAAAATCTGGACTGGAATTTTTGTAGCAGTAACATCCACTAATTTGTTTACCAGTGTTTCCCTGAGGTACACCATTTTGTAAAACCACTCTTCAGCTTTAACTGGCTTTTGACCATATTAATTTTAACTTATAATTATTAAATTAATTAATTGACAATTATTAAGGATTTAATAAACTGTCCTCTGCAGAAGACGAAAACCATTTCATCATCTTATTATGATGAGGATTGGATGTACAGTAGATTTATGTAGCTTTGATGGGGTGATCTGTACTTAAAGTTTCAGTTGTAGTTTGTAGGCCTTTAGACACCTGCTGTTTATTTGGTAAAATGGTACTTTACACAGCACATAAGTTGGTGTTGTACAAAAGATAAAAGATCAGACTTTATTGATCTACTCTGTAAAATATATCAGTGATGTGTGATATTTTCTCAACCAGCTGATCTGACTGAAACCTCATATTCTTTGACTGTTTTACAGAAACAGATTTATCCTGGTGGAGCCCTGTCCATTCCTGTGACTGAGGGAGATTCTGTTAGTCTGACTGCAATTGAGAAGACAAACAAAAGAGTCCAATGTGTTTTCTAATCGAAAATGAGAAACTTGATTCAAATGATTAGCAGAAGGGAGCTGAATATCTCTGCAGTGTCAAAGTCAGATGAGGGGTTTCTACAAGTGTAAATACTCACAACAAGTGTCAGCACAGAGTTGGATGTCAGTTAATGGTGAGTCGGATTAAACATTTTCTGCATTTTCTTTTCTGTAAACTGTTTTCTGTCTGAGAAAGAAATTTAGAGGCAAATACTAAGCTGAATTTGAAATAGCTTTCGTTTTAAACAAGTCCTATACATTTGTAAATGTATGCATATATTTTGTTTTGTGTTTTGATGTGACATGACTCTCATCTATATTAAGCATTAAATTCAGCAACAGTATATTAACAGTTATATTTATTATTATAGCAGTGTCCAGGCCTGAAAGCTCTTCCTCTCCTGTACCGTTGATTGTTGGCTGGTTTGTGGAATCGTTCTCATTATTCTTCTGCTCCTGTTGTTATCGCTACCGACCGTCCAAACGTGAGACCTTCATCTTCTATTATTAGATGTTTTGTTCTGTAATTATTTGACACACATATCTCATTACATAGAATGAATCTATAAGATCTTACAATACAAAACCATGTACAAAATATATATTTTCTTCACAGGTTCATGGTTTATCAGGTTGGTTGAACACTCTCTTCTCTCATTTTGAACATAAAAACAATACATCACATGTTCTTAATGTTCTTATTTAAATGTGTGTATTGCCTATGTTGTAGGTCAAACCAGTCTGAGAGCATCAATCAGGACTCTAACACAAATCATGTGGTCAACCAGAATGAGGCTCAATGTAATGACTACTGCAGTTTTCTCCACGGTATGCATTTAAACTAATCTTGGTTTTATGTGTATATATTCACACTTTAAAAAGATTACTGACCACTGACCTCAGCTTTATTTCCACTGCTCTGTGTCTGTCCTCTGTATGAACTTAACTCAAAGGCTTCTGAAGCAGCGTGCAACGGGTACGCAGTTCATTCCCCCCCCTTTTTTAAGACAATGTAAAAATAATGCTATCAAATTTAAGTGAAAACATTACAATTTCATACATGAGCTTTTTTTCCCCTTAAAACAAGCAAATTTAGCTGCCATCAGTAAGGACTTTTCACTTGATCAGATTTCTTAAAATAAGTTGGTCGGAAACCTTAAATTAAAATATTAGTCGTATTCTTCTTCTAGATAACAAAACTACCCAGTATGTTTGAACCTTGAAGTTGGGGGACATTTGCTAACTATCACCCACCATGGGAAGTGACTACTGGTGTTTTGTATCTAGCAATGGCAAGTGTATGTAACTATTTTGGACAGACTCCATGTTCCTCAGATGATGTCTCTTAATGACTTTGGTGGTCCCCTGGTTTTTTGTCGAGTGCCACAATGAAGTTGACCTTTTTGGTTTATATTACTTTCCTAAAACAAGGATGTTGGGACTGATGATTATTCTGAGATTAGAGGCGCAAATAGAGGTGCTGAGAACAACTGCATGATTTAAAGGGACTGATTATGAATGATTGATATAAAATCTTGTAATTAAAAATATGTAGCTTCTATTTCAGATGCAGGTGGATCCCAGGATGTCACATATTCTTCGATTGAACTTAAAAACTTTGGAAAGAAGAGTGAGTAGGCCTACTTTAAATACATACAATAAATGAGAAATAGATTAGCGATGTCTCGGACTACATTATCTAAAAATGTTTTTTTTTCTTTTTGTATTCAACTGATTATCTTAACAGGGAGCCAACATGAACCAGAGGAAAGAGCTATTTACTCTGATGTGAAAACAGCTACTGCAGGTACAATCTGATGTATGCCCAAGTCAACCACCACGATAAAGGCAAAGCCAAGAGAAGCAAAGGTAAGTAGAGTAAATTATGTAAAAGCTACAAAAGTCTGCTATGTGATTGGTTTGAGCACTGTGGGCTGTCATTCTTTGAATTAGTGGAGACGTTAACCCTCACAGTGTGCCTGTCAGTTCAGCTCATTATCTTTAATAATTATAACATTACTGGCAGTTGTTTAAAACTAAACATCCCTCCATTCACAGGAAAATCACCTCCTGCAGCAACTGCTGACGCTGTTTATTCTGAAATTAAACCAGGAACAGCTCTCGGTAATAATGCTGCCATCTGATGTGCTTACTGTAAGGACTTATTCTACAAATAATCCATATGTCTTTAATAACCGTATATATTTTTTTCTGGTTTTACTCCAGGTCTATAAAAAGAACTGTATCATCAAAGAAATAATGTTGACAGCCTTTCATTAAATTATCTTTCATGAAATTATTGTGTGCTGTCCAAATATAAGATATGTTCAGTACGTTGTACAGTTAATTTCTTAGTATAATATACATTATATGGATGTATTTTTTACTTTAATTATTCCCATTTTCACTGTATCATTATTTTTCTATTTTTTATAGTTACAGGTTTTTGTAGTATCAGTGACATCTATATCCATTTTTAATTATACAGTCTATGGTTTTCTTCTGATTATTTGATTATGTATTAATTGCTACTGTATAAAACAGATTTTTTTGTACTTTTAAAACTATTTTGATGCATCAATAAAGTATTTTTCAAGCAATAAGCTGTCAGTTGTGTTTTAAGTACTTTTTTTGACTGGACAGCCAAACTGGATAAGCACATCTCATAGCAGCCTTCTATTTAGTTGTTTGGTATCAATTCCAAATAAAACTGATAATGATGCTATAGAGCAATCACATCTCCTTCAAATCTCACATGTGAAAATAAATATATGTTCATTGCCTGTAGCAGTATGTCCTGGCCCGTCTCAATGAGCTGACAGGGAAATATATATATATTTTTTAGCAATATATATAGCAATGTTGAAGATACCCCAAACTAAATAGACTTTAACATATTTACCTTCATGAGCTTGAAAGGTGGACGTTAAAAAAAACAACAACACCCCTAAAAAGTTGTTTACTGTTAGTGAGTGCACTGAGACACATGGCAGCCCTAGATCTTGTGGTCTGATTATAAAATGACATCATAATTATTACTTAAATACATAATATACAGTTGGAGCATGAAGTGTATTCATAACAAAGCATACATATCCCTGCACAGAGTGAAGCTTTTGAAGTAACACAAAAAAAAGATGTATGCTTTCAGTCAATATCACACACAAGAGTGGGCAATTCAACTTTTTAAACTTTTGTTTAAATTAACATTATCAACCACGAGATTGAAATGCTCTAATGTAAATGTAAATTATAATGTTGTTAGACGGTTAGACCCCAGACACTGTACAGTTAAAATGGAAGCTTTTCCCATAAATAACCACCAGGGGGTGCTGAACTACCTTAGTTGATACCAACACAATGCCAGTACTCCTTTTTAGTCTGGGACTAGAGCTGCTGTACTTATGTTCAAGATGCCATGTCAGGTCAAAACCCACATTCTCAAAAAGCAGTAATACTCTCTAGACATGTTTTTTAATGTCTGTTCCTAATACTCTGGTTGGTCTGTGCACATTAATTGCTATGTTGGAATGGCTAAGATATTTAACTGGTCTGGGTCAGGAGATATGGGTATAGTTACAGTTGTCAAGCATCAGGGCAGGAGAGAGGATCCTCAGGACAGTACATTCTCTTGTATGAATTAGAGTGGACAGATACTGTAGATACATGCTGATACCAAGGCATACAGTATAATTACAAGACATGGAATGAACATGAAACAACTAAACTTGCTGAAACCATGAGAGTACATTATCTTCATAACTTACATTATGTTGATTTACACACAAAAAGGTATCTGCCTTGCGTGCAGTGGGAGCAGACACGGAGTGCAGGCCGGCTTTCGCACATGCTATATCATCAGTTATTATCTATGCATTGCACTTAGTTTCTTAGAAAAAAGTCTCGGTGTTCATCCTGCAGAGTGCATGATTCCTCTTTTTTTCTGACACTTAAGCTCTGGTGTGAATGGCTATCACAGCAACACATCTCGAGGAAAAGAGGAACACTTTTTATTTTGTTTCCCCCCTCTGAGTCCTCTCACGCTCTTGTTGCAACGTACAGCACACTGGAACAAAACACATGCAAGCAACAGTTTATTTCAGTGACTGTTCATTCATTTGATTTCCATTTCATGTATTTCAGAATACAGTTATATAGTGTAGCAACATGAGGTAAAACAAATGCATATTTGACATAACATCAAAACTATAAAAAAAAAACAGATTTCTTCACATTCTGTTGATAATGTTTGTTCTTTTTTAAATGAAATAATAACCTGAAGAGAGATGTTTTGTACTGCATTTGGGAGCCAAAGTCCTGGCTAGCCTCTGATGTACTGTTATAATGAGGGACTGCCCTCAGTGAGACCTTATCTGTGTGGAGGCTTTGGAATGAAAACAAGGCTGCTGTGAACCGTAAACTTTACATAATATTTTTACCTTTAATTTTATGTTCAGATGTGATGAAGGTTGTTCAGCTCTGGTGGATCTTTGAAAAAGTTCTGCTGTTACTGTCGCTGTCCAAGGTGCTGATCCTGGGCCCTCCAGGAATGCTGAAACTGTCCTGGGTAATGACGCCTGTTGTGTTAAATGAATAAAGTTCCTACCTGTCTACAGCACAGTTTTAAAAGGGACATCCACAGTGTTATACTCACTTAGTAATCTATATGCTTCCACACCAATGGGGGAGATTTATGTGAAAATGTTAAAAGTATCATCCCAGCACAGAATCTTTACATGTCCTCTCTTCATGGTGTTGGTGTAACGTTCCTCATGTGTCCCAGAACTACTGGAGAGATTACTTTCTGTCTTTGTGCCTCTAAACGGTAAAACTTGCTGCCTCTGGATATTACAATGGCAATCTTTGTACTTTCAAAAGGAGATAAAAACCGATTTTTGATACTGCTTGACTGGTATATAATTAAACGTATGTTGTTGTGTTATTTATTGGTAACTTTTGTCTTTATTTTTTGTTGTTTCACTGGGCTGCATGAAAGGTGCTGTATAAATAAAGTTGAGCTGGGTTGGTCCTGTTTCAAGTTTGAAAAAATAAGTATGAAGAGAGCTAAAGCACTAGTTTATTTAAATTTGTCTGAGAATTCATCATCTCAAAGATGATCAAGAGAAATGGGAGGTACCAAACTGAATGTCATAGGACAAGTTCTGAATACTTATGTTATTGTGATTTTTCAGATTTAGTTTAATTCAATGATCTTGTGTTTCGTGGAGTTACAATAATAACTTATTGTTTATGCCTTTTTTTAATTGAACTTTTTTAGGGACCAGGAATGAACCTTTGTACAACAGACAAGCTAATGTATCTTGTCAGTGGGCAGGAAGTGTGAACATGTCGATGCGGTCAAAACCACTGCTGCCGTTTAAGTTTTGTGTAAAAAGGA